AAAAGCCTTAGCGGCTGTCGGCTTGTAGGTTTCAATGAACTACCATGGTGCTGTGGAGTGCTGTGGCAGTTAATTGAAGCTTCCTGTCAGAATATCAGCTTACTTGTACATCCCGTACAGCAAACAGATATTCTGGCTGATCTGCAGGAGACCTGCATGGCACCAGCCATCTACTGATCACTGGTGCAATGCTTTCCAAAAGGTTAACTTATCCTTTAAGGAACATAATACTATGAGCCCTCTATTAGATGTGGTCAGTTGTCAGGTCAGTATTGCTTTCATTGCAGTACATACCCTCTTCTTGTCCCATGCAGAAACTTGCATCTTGCTGCACCTTTTCACTTCCAAGTTGAAAGAAAAGGCCTCAGCAGTGGCCCACTGGGGCTGCCAAACTCCCTCCTTACTTTATGGTCAAATATCAATTGTTCTCATTATGCCATTCTGTATATAAAGTGTGCATAAAACACATTGCTGGTTCTGTGTTCTATTCATGCAGGTCAGGGGTCAGCAAATTTCTTGGCAGCATCGATGGATCCTCTTGGAGCAGAGTCTTTCCACTAACCTCTGACTGGATCATCCATATGCAGAAAATATATATATTTTTTTTTTTATATATGGACTGGATCATGTGACCATCTGGATGCCTTTATGACATTTATTGGCCACAATACCTTTAATTTAAAATTTACTATGACTTATGACCAAAGAAGGGTCAATCTTTTGGACATCCAAATCCAACATTGGCATGTACTGATATAGGACCCTAGCGTTGCCAAATATGTGGGTGAAAAACCACAAATTACTTATCGTTGAGCAAAATATCTACGTGACCATCTTACACAGTCATCTCACTAGGGGTCTTTTCCTGTCTATCCAATGAAGTAGAGGAACATTTAGATGTGGAAAATGCAGTTTTTGCAATTGGATCCTGACAGGGAATCAGATCTCCCTACCTAATGGCCAATCTTGGACCTCACATTGTGCAATTAATTGCCGTACAGTGGGAGTAGTATACTATATGGAATGTAGATGTAAAGCTTTCTATGTGGAAAAAACTATTTTGGAAATGAGTAAGTGATCATGTATATCTCATACAAAATAGCGTCTTTGATAAGCCGTCATGTTGGCTTATTTCATAAATTTGAAGCGGACTCCATCAGGTTTTTTGCACTTGAACATGTTGCATTGTCAACTAGAACTTTGAGCATCGTCCACAGGTTGTACTTCTGGCGGGGCAATTATGTCTCTTTGCTTCTACCTTGTCCACCATATGGGATAATTACATTATGCTGTGTGCTATGCCCTGGAGGTCTGTTTTTCTCTTTGGGCAGGCCTGTGTGGATGGCTTTGGCTTCCGCTCCTTTCCATCATCTGCACATGCGTGTAACCTTCACGCATGCGCAGTGACACATCCACCTGCACCGCTAATTCCTGACGTTCTGATGCTGAAAGCGGAGCAGTGGGGTTGGGGGGGGGGGGGGGGTGGGTTTGCAGTGGCTCTTCCTCCCCCCCATTTCATCCTACCATCATGCGGTACAGGACTCTATTCCTATGGCAGCAATGATCGAGGTTGTTTTGCCACAAGGTGGTGGGTTCAGATTCAAACCATTTTGCTATGTGTTTGATGCCTTGTAGTTAGGTAGGACATGGTGGATCCATAATATACTATGGTTATGTCCTTTGTGTAGGTCTAACAGGTGCACCTGGTGGTACTATATATACAGTTAGGTCCATATATATTTGGACACAGGCACAATTTTAGATTTTCCAGGTATTTAACACAACATATTCAAGCTATAGTTCTATAATGGATATGGGCTGAAAGTGCACACTCTCAGGTTTAATTTGAGGGTATGTACATCCAAATTGGAGGAAGGGTTTAGGAATTACAGCTCTTAAGAGTAGTCATCCCCCCCCTCTTTTCAAGGGACCAAAAGTAATTGGACAATTGAATCAAAAGCGGTTTCATGGCCAGGTGTGGGCTACTCCTTCGTTATTTCTTCATCAATTAAGCAGGTAAAAGGTCTGGAGTTGATTCTAAGTGTGGTATTTGCATTTGCAATCTATTGCTGTGAACCTACATCATGCGTTCAAAGGAGCCGTCCATGCAAGTGAAACAGGCCATTGTAAGGCTTCAAAAACAAAACAAAATCCATCAGAGAGATCGCAGCAACATTAGGAGTGGCCAAATCAACAGTTTGGTACATACGAAAGGAAAGAAGAACGCACTGGTGAGCTCAGCAACATAAAACGGCATGGACGTCCACGGAAGACAACAGTGGTGGATGGTCGCAGGATCCTCTCTATGGCAAAGAAAAACCCATTCACAACATCCAGACAAGTGAAGGACACTCTCCAGGAGGTGGGGGTATCATTGTCAAAGTCTTCAATCAAGAGAAGACTTCACAAGAGCAAATACAGAGGGTTCACCACAAGGTGCAAACCATTCATAAGCCTGAAGAATAGAAAAGCCAGATTAGACTTTGGGAAAAAAAAATCTAAAAAAGCCAGACCAGTTCTGGAAAAGCATTCTTTGGACTGGTGAAACTAAGATTAATCTGTACCAGAATGACGGCAAGAAAAAAAAAAGTGTGGAGAAGGCTTGGAACAGCTCATGATCCAAAACACACAACCTCTGTAAAACATGGTGGAGGCAGTGTGATGGCATGGGCATGCATGGCTTCCAGTGGCACTGGGTCATTGGTGTTTATTGATGATGTGACAGAAGACAGAAGCAGCCGGATGAATTCTGCAGTGTTTAGAGATATACGGCCAGCCCAGATTCAGCAAAGTTGATTGGACGGCGCTTCACAGTACAGATGGACAATGATCCAAAACACAATGATCCAAAACACAATGATCCAAAACACTGCAAAAGCAACCCAGGAGCTTTTGAAGGAAAAGAAGTAGAATATTCTGCAATGGCTGAGTCAATCACCTGATCTCAACCCAAATGAGCATGCATTTCACTTGCTGAAGGCAAAACTAAAGGCAGAAAGACCCACAAAAAGAACAACTGAAGACATCTGCAGTTAGAGCCTGGCAGGAGGAAACCCAGTCTTTGGTAATGTGCAGGGGTTCCAGACTTCAGGCAAAGCATCAGAAAGGAGGAAACCCAGTCTTTGGTAATGTCCATGGGTTGCAGACTTCAGGCAGTCATTGCCAGTAAAGGATTCTCAACAAAATATTCAAAATTAACATTTTATTTATGATTATATTCAATTGTCTAATTACTTTTGGTCCCTTGAAAAAGGGGGATAGCTACTCTTAAGAGCTGTAATTCCTATACCCTTCCTCCAATTTGGATGTACATACTCTCAAATGAAACCTGAGAGTGTGCACTTTCAGCCCATATTCATTATAAATACCTGTAGAAAAAAAAAAAATTAAATAAAATTGTGCCGGTGTTCAAATATATATGGACCTAACTGTATGTGGTGAAGCTTGTCCTTTTTCCTATGCCTTTTTGGATTCTCATTGAAAAGACTTGTCACCAGTCCTATACTATTAAGGTAGTGTCTTTTAAAGAGATATACACATAGCTTTTTTATGTTCTCACCTGTACCAACAGTGTGGTGTTTTCCTCTATAGATTTTGTCGCTGTGCCCCCTCTTATCTATCTTTATGTTGTTTACAACTCTTTAGCATTTTTTGTGCGAAACAATTTATAGTCTCCTCCCTCCTTTGTGTGGCCTAGGGCAGGCTTGGGATCGGACATCCAGGCATTGGACTTACTCCACTTTACTTCATCCTTCTGCCTCTGACCTCATCTCTCGCACATTTGGTGGTACTTATCAGCCCTGGTTAAATCCCCTTTGTGGGTTATTTATGCAAGTTCTGGTTCTGCGGTGTTGTTTATTTTCATATTTTTTTTTTACTGTGGTTTTGCATTGTTAGGATTTGTATTTTATTGTATTGGTTTTCTTTTGCAGCAACAGCCACTTGTACCCCCTGAACCCCCAAAGAAGCTATTAGCAAAACGCATTAGGACATCTTTCACCTCATCTATGGCTTTTTCACTATCCACGATTTGTGGTTACTGGACTATTTATTACCATGTTAAAGATGTTGGCAGGGGTGGCTGAGCTGCTCATTTCAATGGTTTTAGGGGGTTTCTTACCCCAAAATCTTTTAAATGATTTAATAAAAGTTTTTGTTTGATACCCCCAAATTTTTTTTTTTTCTCCAAAAAGGTTTTCAGCACCGCAAAAATTACATAATTCTTCTGTTTGTACATTCTTTATGCATTTCTGGGATTAGGAGTTGAGTAAGTCAGCGGATTCCATCGTTATTTTAGTTTTCAGGGTCATATAGTAATACAGGTGGCTACACATTATGACAAAAGACTGTTGTTGATCTGAAAATAGTAATTTATTTTAAAAAAAGTTTTTACAAATATTCATTAAACAATAAAAATGTTTCTTCTCTCAATTGTTCCAGCACTTCACACTAAGCTTAACTCATACTCTTGGCGACCACATTTGAAGCATATTTTTCAGTGACACTGAGGAACGTGAAACAAGTTGGTGTGAAATAATTGGATGTGACTATTCATGCAGGTAGTGTTTATGGGTGGAGGTAGGGGGCGCCATTCCACTAATGGAGGATAAGAAGGCTCCGCTACAAAGTATTAATGGAATGGTGGGATAGGGAAGGAGGTGCCAGACATCCGTCTTGATGTCACTATGTGCACACACCATGGTAATATATGTATTCTGTGTCCATCAGGAGAGTAAACGTAAATTGCTGAAAGACAAGCTGGGTTGGTGCTACCTTCCCTCTATGCCACCATCGTGACAGTAATGTAAAATCCCCTTTTGAATGGAACATTCTAAGGTCAGAGCTACTCCAGAAAAAGCTCCCCCCCCACCACAAAATGGAACATTCCATTCAGGTGTGCATATATCAGTCATGTGCACATGGTGCAGACTGGAGAGAAGCAATTGACTGTAGCATAATGGGTTGTTACAAAACGCGTGGTTCTGCCTGGCAAGGGCATGTCACCACTTCTTCTTATGCTCATCCATGGACACGCCGCCAGGTCCCAGTGCCACGACCAGCAGCAGCCCACCAACTACGGAGAGGGTCTGGAAGAAGTCGTACTTCAGGAAGTCGTGGAGTGGGCGGTAAGATGGCACCGTCCAGAAGGCATTCTGGATGACGTTGATGCCCATGAGCGAAAAGACCAGAGTCAAAGCTGCCAGCTTGGTCTTAAAGCCAATCGCAACCAAGATGATAAGAGTCAGGCCGAAGATATTCTGACACATCTGGAAGGATAAAATAAAAAGGAGATAAGAAAAACCCTACACCCACAAATCTGTACATTAACACCCCAGTGCACAATACCCATACCTTGGATTTGTTACTCCACTTCATCCCATTGACAGCTCTGCCAGCGACATTGTGCATAGCTGCTAGGTGACAAATCTGTGTGGCACTGACAGTTATGGCTCCAGCTAACAATTGGGACCAATCAGTGGTCCCTAATCATGTGATCACTGTGTCACCTATGTCACGTGCAGGTAGTAATATTTCTCTATCATTCAGTGAAGGACACAGCTTAATTTCTCTTTAACTCAAAGAAAAGGATTTTATGCAGAGTACAAAAATTCAATTACTGTATTTTTCGCTCCATAAGGATGCACTTTCTCCCCCCCAAAAAATGGGGGAAATGTCTGTGCATCTTATGGAGCGAATATGGAGCGGGCAGCCCGGTATTCCCTCCGTGTTAGAATATCAGGCCGGCCCGACTCTTCTCTGCCGACCTCCAGTGGTCCTACCTGTTCCTTGGTCCAGCGGTGTCCTCAGTCTTCTCTCCCCGGCGCTGGCATGGGTATCTGGCTGTGACAGCTTGCGGCTTCACAGCTGGGTGCCCACAGCACATGAGCGAGAAGTGCTGAGCTTTGTGAATGGTCCCGTAGTCTTCTGGGACCTGTCATGTGTCCCAGAAGATTACAGGGGGGGGGGGGGGGGGGAAGGGCAGACCCGCGGAAGTGGGAGCGGATACCTGTCAAATTCAGGTACCCGCTCCCCAAGAGGTCCGCAGTCTGTGGCCGTCCCCAGTGCCGTGTCGGCAGTCTCTGGCCGTCCCCTGTGCCGTGTCGGCAGTCTCTGGCCGTCCCCTGTCGGCAGTCTCTGGCCGTCCCCTGTGCCGTGTCGGCAGTCTCTGGACGTCCCCTGTGCCGTGTCGGCAGTCTCTGGACGTCCCCTGTGCCGTGTCGGCAGTCTCTGGACGTCCCCTGTGCCGTGTCGGCAGTCTCTGGACGTCCCCTGTGCCGTGTCGGCAGTCTCTGGACGTCCCCTGTGCCGTGTCGGCAGTCTCTGGACGTCCCCTGTGCCGTGTCGGCAGTCTCTGGACGTCCCCTGTGCCGTGTCGGCAGTCTCTGGACGTCCCCTGTGCCGTGTCGGCAGTCTCTGGACGTCCCCTGTGCCGTGTCGGCAGTCTCTGGACGTCCCCTGTGCCGCGTCGGCAGTCTCTGGACGTCCCCTGTGCCGCGTCGGCAGTCTCTATAGGAAATGGAAATCGATTCATAGACCATGGGTGTATGCCGCTAACTTCAACTGATTGGACATTAGCAAAAGTCTTTGCTGGGTTTGCCCCCTAGTATAACCATATAACGCCACCCCCTTTATGAGGTTCGTTGGGTTTACATAGTCTGGCTGAAAAAAAGACAAAAGTCCATCCAGTTCAACCATTAAAAAAAAAAAAAAAAAAAAAAAGGTTATAACCCTACACCCACAGTTGATCCAGAGGAAGGCAAAAAAAAAAACCAGCAAAGCATGATCCAATTTACTCCTGCTGTGAAAAATATTCCTTCCTGATCCTCTGAGAGGCAATCGGATATTCCCTGGATCAACTTGCTTGTTAGTAAGCAGCAGAGAGATCACAGAGAAAAGAGGGGAGGAACCTGAGTCCTGTACTGTAATCAAAGAAGAGATAAATTTTGACACACCAGTACATCCTGTATCATGGAGTACAGTACAGGACACAGGAATCGATTCATAAGCTGGGGGAATGTCCCCAAACAAAAAAATCAAGGGGTGGGAAACAAATGGTTAAGAAGCACCAGGACCACAGGAAAAAAAAAACAAACAAAAAAAAAAAACAAAAAACAAAATGGACCAACCACCTGGAAACAACTGGTGTTGCTTAAACAAGAACGGAATACTGATGGTGGGTCCATATAAAAGGAAAAGGCAATGCTGGGTGCTGCATAGGCCCAATCCCACCACAACAGGAAATTGTGCAGGGAAGGAAAGATTCGATCACCAAGGGCAAAAGCCCTATAAGAGGCAAAATAACCACCTAGCTGGGTGGAAGCAGAGGGAGAAATCTTACAAGGTATGGGCAGACAGCTACTGTATACAGAGTCTCTGCAGGAGCCCAAGTTTGTACATGAGATCTGCTGATCGCCGATGCAGGCTCCTTAGAAAAAAAAAAAAAAAAAAAAAAAATGCACAAAAAAAAAAAATTTACTTTTTTTTTTCCCCCCAGAAGGTGAACTTATCCTTAAACTAAACTCCAGCTTTAATCCACAAGATTACATGAACATGCAGAGGAACTAAAGACCATTGTGGAGATTTGGCGAATACCTCTCACAGCATCTACACAGCATAGTGGGGCAGAATAAGTAATCTTGCAGAAAGTGCAGGATTATCTACAGCAGCAAAATTAATCATTTCTCCAGCCCAGTCCACCAGAGTCTGAGTGACTGATAAGGTAGAAGTGGCTGGTTGTAGAGCAGGGCCTGCTGATGCAAACACAATGGACCCTAGAGTAGATCAGAAATGGTGGCAGTAATTTGTCGTAAAGCGGAGTTCCACTCACTCTGTAAAAAAAAATAAATAAATAAGTCAGCAGCTACAAAAACTGCAGCTGCAGACTTTTATAAACCAGCCACTTACCTGTCCCACGATCCCGCGCTGCCCTCGCCGCAGCCTGTTTCACCGGCTGTCCTGTATTCCAGGCGCCGGCATCTTCAGTGTAGGCACCCGGCTGACCTGATCACCTAGGCGATTGCAGCAGAAGTGGGAGTGGATACCTGTCAATTTCGGGTACGCGCTCCCCAAAGGTGCTAATCCTTAAATGGTGAGCAAGGGACCAGTCATTGAACTTCCCCTTTTGTGTGGAACTCCTCTTTAAACAGGCCACATGCTGCATACCTGTATGGGAGCTTGAGCCAGGGGGTTGGAGAGATGTTGGTGGAAGATGCTCCTCCAGATCAGGGAAACTATTATCAACCTTAGAGGAACTTTGAGTTTTCTCAGGCCTGCCACTATCTGTCCTGTGTTCCCATTCTGGGGGGCCTGCAGTTCTCGAATGCCAAATGTAGACCTGTGTCTTGTGACCGCTAGTGTGCATGGCACTGCAAAATGTCTTTGGAAAGTTGAGGATGTAATGTATGTTACAGCCATCAGAACACTAGGAACTGGTGCAAAACCCTTGGTACAGGGGAAAAGGGAAAGCCTGTCCTGCCTCCGCATCACTGGTCCTGCTCAGGGCCAAGGCTTTGCCTGTCACAATGGGGATACACCTTAAAAGCGGAGTTCCACTCACCTGTCAAAAAATAAAAGTCAGCAGCTACAAAAACTGTAGCTGCTGACTTTTTAAAATAAATAAATAAACAGCCACTTACCTGTCCCTCAATCCAGTGGTGTGTCCCCCGCAGCCTGTTTCACCGGCCGTCCTGTATTCCAGGAGTCCGGGATCCTCAGTGTGGGCACACGGCTGTGACAGCTTGCGGCTTCACAGCCGGGTGCCCACTGCGCATGCACGAGTAGTGCTGTGCTTCATGAATGGTCCTGTAGTCTTCTGGGACCTGTCACATGTCCCAAAAAACTACAGGAAGGGAGGGAGGACAACTTCCGTTTCCAATCACCTAAGTGATCAGACCGGAAATGGGAGCGGGTACCAGCTCCCCCCGCCCCCAAAGGTTCCAATCCTTAATGGGGAGCGAGGGAGCAGTCCTTAAAGCGGAACTTCCCCTTTTGGGTGGAGCTCTGCTTTAAGGGTCTTGCAGAATCTGGTTACCAAAGGAATGACCATGGCTCTAAAACTTAATAGCACCCTATACCAAGGTGAGAGCCATACAAAGGATCCAGAGCTCGAAGCAAACAGGCCATGTATGGTTCCCAAAGATGTACATGAGGGTCATTGATGCAGAAACTGCTGGCAAGCTGTGAAGGCCATAAGCATTCTAACCTTTATAGAAGCGTCAGTCGAAAGAAGACATTTCTGGTGAAAATATAAAAGGAAACTTCTCCAGGAGGAGAAAGCATCCATCATCCAAGGACACCAGCCTGGAGCCTCATGGAATGGGTGGATTTATATGGGTGTACTAGGAGGCAGACCCAGCAGAGGCATTTGCCAGTGTCCAGGCACCTGAAGATAGCTGCACACAACCCATAGTCTATGAATGGATTCCTGTGTCCTGGAACGATAAAAGTATATCTGAAGCCAAAACCTTTAACATCATAATTTAATACTTTTTAAAAAGTTGTCCATTAATCTTCCCCCCACCGTCCTCAGTGGAAGCCACATAGCCAAATATGAACCTCAGCTCTGCACCTCTCAACTACAGAATGGCACATATAACACACTGAGAAAGTCTTAGAAACGTCTTGGGATAATGTATATCCTCCAGTCCTTTATCTGCGCCCCTTCTTCACTATTACTCACTTCAAATACGCCGCCATGGTATCGGAGCAAGGTCATGAACATCAGGATGAGCAGTATGCGACCTCCTAGCTGCATGTACTGACGCGGCGACCTCTCCCCTGCGCTGGGTACCCCGGCAAACATGGACTTTCCTTCAGAACGAGACTCCGCCAGTAACAGGAGGAGACCGCCACCCAATGCCAGGTTTCTAGAAAAGAAGAAATGTGTTACGCTTTGAGCTAGATAAAATGAGGAAGGGGATGAGGATATGACCATTAACCCCTCGCCTACCAGGCACTTATACCCCCTTCCTGCCCAGGCCAATTTCCAGCTTTCAGCGCTGTCACACTTTGAATGACAATTGCGCGGTCATGCAACACTGTACCCATATGAAATTTTTATCATTTTTTTGTGACAGACAGAGCTTTCTTTTGGTGGTATTTAATTACCTCTGGGTTTTTTAATTTTTTCTTAAACAAACCAAAAACCACTGAAAATTTTGAAAAAACAAAACCAAAAAAAAAAAAAACGTTCTAGTTTTTGTTATAAAATTTTGTAAATAAGTGATTTTTCTCCTTCACTGATGTGCGCTAATGAGGCTGCAGTGATGGGCACTGATAGGTGGCACTGATGAGGAGGCACTGGTAGGTGGCATTGATGGGCATTGACAGGCATCACTGATGGGCACTGAAAGGCAGCACTCATATATGGCACTGATAGGTGGCAATGACTGGCACTGTTAAGCGGGACTGATTGGCATTGATAGGTGGCACTGAAAGGCAGCTCAGATGGACACTGATATGTGGCATTGATGTGCACTGACATAAGGCACTGATGGACACTGACAGGTGGCACTGCTGGGGCTACACTGATCATCAGGGCCCTGATGATCGGTGTACATGTTCCCTCCGCGGAAAGCCGATTACTGGCTCTCCTCTGTCAGCATGACAGCTCGAGAGGAGAGAAATGCCGATAACCAGCATTTCCCTGTTTACATGTGATCAGCTGTGATTGGACACAGCTGATCACATGACCAAGCCGACATCTTCGGCTCTTTCCGTGATCGAAGATCCGCTGTGTCCGAGGGACACAGCGCACCGCACGCTCCCTGAGCCACGCATGCGCGGTGAGAATGGGAGGACGTCATACGACGTCCTCCCAGAATGAGAGAACCACCTTGCGTCCGTCATATTACTATATGGTGGGAGGGAGGTGGTTAAAACCCCCCAGCATGAAACAAGTCCTTTATATCACACCTCACAGAGCACACTTCCAGGCAGTCCTTTTCTTATAGTGACAGTCGGAAAGTCTTCCATTCACATTTTCATACTAGAAACAGGAAAGGAAGAACTTGATTGGATGCCAATAATGTTCCTCCCTCACATACTGTAATCAACGGGGCCCTTTGTGTTGGAATGGATTGGTTGCATCTAAGCCAGGCCTTCAAGTCTTTGTCAAAAATTTGGACACATACTTTGAATTTTTCTTCATTTTGGTGGTTTGACATTTATTTTTTAACCACAGAATTTATGATTTGTGTATAATTATTTTTGATTAATTTCATGTTTTGTGCTGTTTTATAGTTTCACTGATTTTTATCAATCTTTTTGATTCTTATCAAGGCACAGCAGCATTCACTTTCCAATTTTTCACAAAGTTCTTGTGGCACGGGATGTTTTTGTTTCTTCTTCAAAATCGGATTTCAGCGATTGTCACACAGGTTTGAAAAGGTCTGTAAAAATGTCATCAGGAAGATTGTTCACGGCAAACTTTGAACTCCTCCCCTCAGAAATCAAAAGTATGAATAAATAAATATTAGGAATATCTGATAGAACATGCGACTCTCATTTCATCAGTCATGCTTGGGCTTTACAAAAATGTGAATATTCCATCTTAAAAATTGTATCTAAACCCAAGAAATAAAAAATGTAATAAATTGCAGTTTACCTGTTTTTTTTTTTTTTTGTTTTAGTGTTTTTAAACTCAGTTTATTGTGATCAAACAGTTGTACAAAATACATACAGATATATTATTCCAGTGTGTACAAGACAAAATCATACCTCAACTTCTGCACATGACAAAGACACGTGCCATGGTACCGTGATCAAACAGTGGGTGTGGCCAGCAAAAAGTGGCCATAGACATATGTATGGGTGTGTTTAGGAGGCAGCAGGATTGGGATGGGTGGGACACAAACCACAGAAATGGGGAGGGGCGTGCAACACAGGTCTAAACACAGAACATCTAGTCCCTCTTCTCTGCAAACTCGTTGCATTAAAAAAAACAAAAAAAACAAACAAACAAAAAAAAAAAAACTGCTGTTCGTCCCGCCGCTCCCTAAGTAGTATGGAGATGAGAAGCAGAACACCACTTTGTGTATGTGCCTTGTGACTGCAACCTGATCCCAGCAACTGATTGACAATGTATGGCCAATCAGAACCTGGGGACAGGCTTATCCATTTATCTTGTTTTTTCTCTGTTGTTCCAATAGTTTATCCACCAGAAAAATACTTTTTATTGCTGCAATTTCTCATTTCTTAACTGGTTCCCGCATGGCCTATTCTACAATGACGGCCACACGTGCAGCAGAGCGATCTGTGGCGAGCCGTGTCCCTTGGACACAGCACATCGATTGGGGTAAAGAGCCAATGATGCTGGTTCTTAACCCCTTTGCGCCGGCCGCACACAAATGTGCGGCCTCCCGGCATCTGGGCCTAGACGCCGAGCGGCCGCACATTTGCGTTCATGTAGCAAAAAACATATGTGCTGAGAGCACGCCCATCACACATGTGGTACTCACGGAAATGTCCCGGTCCGCTCTTTCGATCGGGACCTTTCCCGATCATGTGACCGCCGTGATGACGCGTCACGATTCCTAAACCATGCCCCACCTCCCGGCGTCTAAAACTCTTAAAGGGCCGGGAGGCACCGGCGGGAAGGGGTTAACCATGTGATCAGCTGTGTCCAATCACAGCTGATCACATGTAAACAAATGCCAGTTAATCAGCATTTCCTTTCCTCAGCTCTGTCACTGAGGAAAGGAAACCGGCTTTCCTGTGATGGGACATTTACAGTGATCATCAGTGCACTGATGATCAGTGCAACATAGCAGTGCCGCCTCATCAGAGCACATCAGTGAAGAAAAAAATGCTTATTTGCAAAAAATTGTATAACAGAAAAAAAGAAATTTTCTTTTTTTTTTTTTTTTACAAAATGTTCTGTCTTTTTTTTGTTTAACAACAAAATAAAAAAACCCAGGAATGATTAAATAACCCCAAAAAAAGAAAGCTCTCAGTCTCAAAAACGCTAAAAATTTGTTTGGGTACAGTGTAGCATGACCGCGCAATTGTCATTCAAATTGCGACAGCACCGAAAGCTGAAAATTGGCCTGGGCAGGATGGGGGTAAAAATGTCCAGTATTGAAGTGGTTAAATCAAACGCTTATAAACAGTACTGGAACAGTCATCAGTTCAATGATTATTTTCATTTTGTAGCCTCCCCTAATTAAATGACAGCTGGAATCTGAATGGCTGTAATGGACAGGACAGGCACGGTCACTTGTGAACCTCAGCAAAGCAGTCAATGGAAGACAAAAGCAGTAAGAAAGACGGGACATAATCAATATTGACACATAGAAACACTAACCTCATGAGAAACTTCAGATCCCAAAGGATGTTGTACACAATGGTCTGAAAACAGCAAACAAATTTCATTTCAGCAAATGAATGCAAAATTGAATCATAAAAAAAAAATAAATAATATATATCACACAGCCTTGAGGTTTGGTTTGATTTCATTTGCAGAAAATCTTGCAATGTCCTTTCATGATAACTTCATTACCATACTTAGATATAAGCAGCACTTAATACAGAACTTTGTGTCAGCGCTCCCTGAAATGAAATATAGTTAGATGCTGACAGGCAACCTGGAATATCAAGTTTTGGGTGGACAGGCACTTTAATAAGTAAAAAAAAAAAAACAAAAACAAAACATTTCTTCGGAAAAATAGTAATATAAATGAAATTAGAGATGAGGTTCACATCTTCAGCTGCCCAGAATTCACACAAACTTCTCGGTTCATTAACTTAGTGGTGGCCTTCTTTTCTTAACCCCTTCATACCTAAGGGTAAAACTAATCTAAATGCCTAAGCACAATTCTACAACGTTGACATGTGTAAGTAAAACCGTCCATATCATCACCACTACATTGTACATCCAGGTGGGTTATACCTTGATTTTTTTTTCAGGACAAAATGGGCTTTTATTTGGTGGTAAATAGTAATGATATCGCTTGATTTTTTTTTTTTTTTCACTATCAAAGGAAAACTGGCCCAAAATAGTAAAAAAAAAAAAAAAATTTTTTTTCATTTAGCTGTGTGTTTCTTGTTACTACCATAACCTACCACCAAAGAACAACCCAAAATAAATTCTCCAGCTCTTGGCGATCGCAACGATACCATATATGTGTATGTTATTTGTTGTTTGTACCCGGAGTACAGCCCAGAAACAATAGTGCGCATTTTGTTTTTGGCTTTTTTTTTACCTAAAAACACACCGACACTGACATTAACACTAACTGACACTGATACCAATTTTTTTAAATCTTGACCTTTGACCTTGACCCAAACACTTACCCTGGCACTGAACTAGATCAAATCTTGATCTGGGTATTTTTCGTTATTTTTTACAAACATTTTTTTCTCTCTATGCCAGGAGTTAAAGAGATACCATGCATCTCTATTCATAGAGAGAGAAAAAAAAAACAAGGGGGCCGGGCTGTACAGTAACTGATCACTGTGATAGCCAATCATAGGCTATCACAGCGATCATGTGACTTGGAATCGGGAGTCCCGGGTCCCGATTGTTAGAACGGGACCAGGGGCTCTCAGTGACACTGCGGTCTTTGTGCTGGGAGTGTGCCGCGCTCCCAGCAGACAGACAGGTACGCAAATATGAGGCCCCACGGAAAGAAAGCTCAGTTCTGTGAGGCCGCATATTTGTGTGACATCGGAGTCAAGGGGTTAATCTATAACAGCAAACATTTATTTCTTTATTACAGATACTTATATAGCGCCATCAATTTACGCAGCACTTTACCTATATATTGTACATTCACAATACACACCCAAACTAAGCATGTGCAGCTTGCTCCCAAGGCTCTGTACTATCATCAGATGGAACTAATTGTCACTCTATGTGCTGCACTGTATATCTATATAGTTAAAGTTGTATTCATTCACAAGGAAGATACGCACACTGTCAAGATTAAATGTAAAAAATATCTGCTTCTCACACCAATTGGTAGGGTAATTTTGTAGTGGGTGTCAGAAAAGATCTGGGTAGCACTGAGAAGCCCCCCTGGAGCCTGAATAATGTATACAGTGAAGGAAATGTGTATTTGCTCCCCAGCTGATTTTGAATGTTTGCCCCTCACAAAGAAATGATCAGTCTAAAAATCGAATGTTCAGTGTATTGTAACATTGAAAGACAGAATAGAAACAAAAAATTCAGCAGAAATGCATGTCTAACAAATGACGACTGATCTGCATGTTCACAAGGGAAATAAGTATTTGATCCCCAATCATTCAGCAGGATTTCTGGCTCCCATACAGGTAACAAGCTGAGATTAGAAGCAGTCTCTTAAAGGGAGTGCTGCTAATCTCATTTTGTTACCTGTATAAAAAGACAGCTGTCTTTTGCAATCAAAATCAGATTCCAAACTCTCCACCATGGCAAAGATCAAAGAGCTGTCCATATATATATATATATATATATATATATATATATATATATACACACACACACATACATATATACACACACACACACATACATCTACACACACGCACAAATATATACACACACACAGTCAGGTCCATAAATATTGGGACATCGACACAATTCTAACATTTTTGGCTCTATACACCACCACAATGGATCTGAAATGAAACAAACAAGATATGCTTTAACTGCAGACTGTCAGCTTTAATTTGAGGGTATTTACATCCAAGTCAGGTGAACGGTGTAGGAATTACAACAGTTTGCATATGTGCCTCCCACTTGTTAAGGGACCAAAAGTAATGGGACAGAATAATCATAAATCAAACTTTCAGTTTTTTATACTTGGTTGCAAATCTTTTGCAGTCAATTACAGCCTGAAGTGTGGAACGCATAGACATCACCAGACGCTGGGTTTCATCCCTGGTGATGCTCTGCCAGGCCTCTACTGCAACTGTCTTCAGTTCCTGCTTGTTCTTGGGGCATTTTCCCTTCAGTTTTGTCTTCAGCAAGTGAAATGCATGCTCAATCGGATTCAGGTCAGGTGATTGACTTGGCCATTGCATAACATTCCACTTCTTTCCCTTAAAAAACTCTTTGGTTGCTTTTGCAGTATGCTTTGGGTCATTGTCCATCTGCACTGTGAAGCGGTGTCCAATGAATTGTGAAGCATTTGGCTGAATATGAGCAGATAATATTCCCGAAACACTTCAGAATTCATCCTGCTGCTTTTGTCAGCAGTCACATCATCAATAAATACAAGAGAACCAGTTCCATTGGCAGCCATACATGCCCACGCCATGACACTACCACCACCATGCTTCACTGATGAGGTGGTATGCTTAGGATCATGAGCAGTCCCTTTCCTTCTCCATACTCTTCTCTTCCCATCACTCTGGTACAAGTTGATGTCGGTCTCATCTGTCCATAGGATGTTGTTCCAGAACTGTGAAGGCTTTTTTAGATGTCGTTTGGCAAACTCTAATCCGGCCTTCCTGTTTTTGAGGCTCACCAATGGTTTACATCTTGTGGTGAACCCTCTGTATTCACTCTGGTGAAGTCTTCTCTTGATTGTTGACTTTGACACACATACACCTACCTCCTGGAGAGTGTTCTTGGTCTGGCCAACTGTTGTGAAGGGTGTTTTCTTCATCAGGGAAAGAATTCTTCGGTCTTCCACCACAGTTGTTTTCCATGGACTTCCGGGTCTTTTGGTGTTGCTGAGCTCACCGGTGCGTTCCTTCTTTTTAAGAACGTTCCAAACAGTTGTTTTGGCCACGCCTAATGTTTTTGTTATCTCTCTGATCGGTTTGTTTTGTTTTTTCAGCCTAATGATGGCTTGCTTCACTGATAGTGACAGCTCTTTGGATCCCATCTTGAGAGTTGACAGCAACAGATTCCAAATGCAAATAGCACACTTGAAATGAACTCTGGACCTTTTATCTGCTCATTGTAATTGGGATAATGATGGAATAACATACACCTGGCCATGGAACAGCTGAGAAGCCAATTGTCCCATTACTTTTGGTACCTTAACAAGTGGGAGGCACATATGCAAACTGTTGTAATTCCTACACCGTTCACCTGATTTGGATGTGAATACCCTCAAATTAAAGCTGACAGTCTGCAGTTAAAGCACATCTTGTTTGTTTCATTTCAAATCCATTGTGGTGGTGTATAGAGCCAAAAATGTTAGAATTGTGTCGATGTCCCAATATTTATGGACCTGACTGTATATTCTTGTGCAATCTTTGGCAAATTTGTTTTTCTTTAAACTGCAACCTCTATTTTAAACAGATTTTGTGGGAAAAAATAAGTCCAATTAAGAAAAGAACCCCCCCCCCCCCCAAAAAAAAAATAGCATTGCACAAAAAATGCTTAATTTGAAACAGCAAGTTTTGAAAATGCTCTTTTTTTACGTGTTCAGTAACTTGCTATAACCCAATTTACTCGCTAGAGGGCACTATTGCTGCTTGAATACGATTTTGTGGCAATAACTGCCCACTAGAAGAGAACACAACATCTTATCTTGTTAAAGAGGAACTCCAGATTCAGCCACCATTGCAGTATACTGTACAGTGACACAGCCATGCTGGAACTATGTACACATGTATTGCAGATAAACCAGTACTGCACATTGGAAGATCTGCCCCCAATGAGCACAGGATCTCCTCTGGCCAGTCTGACAGCTACAAAAATGCTGCTCGTCCAGTGAGGGAGCAACACCCTTATAACATGTGAAAGGCCTTCCTCTTACAGCCAGCAACACACCACTAGGGTGACATGTGCCTTGCTACATGCAGTGCCCTGCAGTGACTGATGTTCATGATGATATGGAGCCAAGGGATGTCAGGTTTCATGCAGTTCTGTACAACTCAGACCTGCCCACAATGACACACAGAGGAGAAGAGGCCACAAATGTTTTCATGTTTAAACTTTTTTTATATCCTGCCTGTGAGATACTCTAAGATCAGATTACATGCAGCCTGTTAATTCTGAGTTTATCTCCTCTTCTATGCTTTTGTACAAAATGAATTTTATTTTTATGGCAGCTTACAACATCAAATTAATCAGCAAGGATGAACTAAGATGTTGAAATGGGGAAATATTTGTGCATAGAACTTACCTGGAGGACGATGATCATGAAGAGGCCAAGGCAAGCATATGGTACAAATTTCCTAGTGAGGACAAGGACACATCCAGCTGTGCAGAGACAAAACATAATATTAACAAGAGGGATCCAACGGAGAAAAGAAGGATTTCTTACAATTACTCATGCGTTTGCTCACATATAGAAAGATTGGGGAAGAAAGGGGCCCTAAGCAAGGCAACAGCCCCCCCAAATCCCTTTGCCTATTGCAGCCCTTTTCCGTATCAATCAGAGAAGTCACCTCATTTGTAATGTCTGTACTGGCATGGCCTCATCAGACTGACTGCCTACAAGTCCATCCTTCCCTTGTCAAGTTACATGCAGGTGACAACTCTGACCAATTGCTCTAACCCCCCTTGTTTTCTGCAGGAGCACAAAAATTGTAGCGTGGCCCCCGGACATCCACCAGGCCCTAGGCTCCAATCGCGGTTGTCTTGTATATGACCTAGCTGCTTAACACCTTCCTGCCCGGCCTTTAGCAGATTGACGGCCGGGCAGGACACTCGCCGTTGTGACTGGGTGTCATATGACGTCCTGTCAAAACAAGCCACTCACACAGCTGCGGGGCCACGATCTGTCACCGGCTGTGTCCATGGGACACAACCAATGACATATCACTACACCGGCCTGTTGCCAGTGTCATGTGACCAATCACAGCAGATCACATGTCAACTGTATACAATGGATGGCTTCCCATCATGCCATCCATTGTATACAATTAAGTTGTTAGCTGTGACTGGTCAAGGCAGTCACATGATACAGACAGGACCAATCACAACCCATCTGTATCATGTGATCAGCTTTGCCCAATCACAACAAGAGACTGAATGAATCCGTTTCATTCAGTAACAAGGATTGCAAATATCAATGAAATACATTGGTATTAGCAATCATTAAAAAAAAAACAAAAAAAAAAAAAACACTTGATCACTTGCCCAGAGTAGTTCAATGTTACTATGGTAACATGGTATTGGTTTGGTCACAGTGTGCTGAAAAATAATATATTAAGAAAAAAATTTAATAAAAAATAAAATAGAAATGGTTAAAAAAAAAAAAAAATACAAAATTCAATTATAATTTTCACCAAAGAAATGTAGCTGAATACATTTTGACCTACCTTTATGAATAAATGTTATTTATTTGCAAAATTTTATAACCGAAAACGAAGAAAAGTGCGTTTTTTTTCAAAAGTTTTTTTTTTGTTTTATTTAGCAAAAAATAAATAAACTCAGTGGTGATTAAATACCACCAAAAGAAAGCTCTATTTGTATGAAAAAAAAATGATAAAGACTTCATATGGGTACAGTGTTGCATGACCGCGCAATTGTCAGTCAAAGTGCGACAACGCTGAAAGCTGAAAATTGGGCCTGGACAGGAAGGGGGTATAAATGCCGGGTATTGAAGGGGTTAATAGAAACCATAACGTGAGAAGAGTGGCGGTGAAGATGGCGGTAGTGGGTGTACAGGTGGAGATTATAATGGGTTATTATCACAGTATATATTATTTTCTGTCTTGTTATTGTATCGCTTTAAAACATTACATACCAGAAGTGTTATTTGCAGCATCTGATCCTAGACAGCACAAGGAAAACTAATCTCACTTCCCCTTTCTCTTCGAACCTCCTGAGATTACACATATACACAATCAAAAAGGCCCGGGAATGAAAGGAGAAAGATTGCTGACATCACCTGACTCAGGTCAGTATAGACCGCAGTATGCAACGGATGAGGCTCTTCCCTTCAGAACATCATCAGGGTCATCCTTTCATGGTTTAGTAGGTGATGTACTATTACAATGTTCTTTTTAGAAGCAGAATTTGTTTTCAAAAGAGATCAAGCCAAGTGACCCGCCTCAAAAGCCTCTGATGGAAGCTGCCATTTCCAACTCACAATATGCAGTCAGCCATGTATATAAACGGCCGGACGGTGGCACTGCAGGGTCGGGTGGCCGTTTATAAATGGCTTCCCCTTCCTTCTGCTTGTGCACGCTCCCTGGGAGCTCGCAGCACCGCGATCCGGTGCCCGCTGTGTCCACAGACCCAGTGGAACACCAATCGTTATACGGGACCTCTGTACAAGGTCCCGATCATGTGACCGCTGATTGGCCAATCAGTGATCACATGACTAGTAGTTAGTAAGATGTCACTTCTGACATCATTGCTTACTACCTGTGAAATCTGTGAATGATCACAGAGGTCACATGGTACAAGGCTATTCACAACAGCCTTGTACCATGTGACAAGCTGTGACCAATCACAGCTCACACAGTAGTTCTCAATGGCTGCAAGAATGCAGCTAGAGAGGAGAAATGATTGCATGTACAGCATTTATGGATATAAATGCAATCAGTGTAAAATAAAAAAAATAATCTTCATAACCCCCCACAAGTAGTACAGTGTCACTATGGTGACACTGTACTGCTAGGGTGGAAGTATGTAAAATTATTTTAAAAAAAAGAAAGTTTTTTGAAAAATTTGAATTTTTTATAAACTAATTTGGGTTATTTTTCTTTTTTTACTAAAAAGATAACTGAATAAATTTTGGCTAAGATTTATGAAGAAAGATTATTTGCAAAATCATATAAAAAAAAACACGTCCTGTCACTATGGTAACACTATATTGCTAGGGTGGTAGTATGTAAAAAAAAAAAAAAAAAAAACTAAAAACTAAAAAAAAAAACCCAAAATAATATAAAAAAAAAAAGAATTTAAAAGAAAAAAATGTAAAAATTTTTTGGGAAAAATTATAATTTTTGGTTATAAACTAATTTGGATTATTTTTTTTTTTACTAAAAAGATAACTGAAATTTTGGCCAAGATTTACAAAGAAAGATTATTTATTTGCAAAATTTTATAAGAAAAACACTTTTTTTTTCAAAATGTTTGGTCTTTTTCATTTATATAGCAAAAAAAAAACAAAAAAACCCCAGTGGTGAATAAATACCACCAAAATAAAGTTTTATCTGTCTCAAAACAAAAGCTAAAAAAATTCATGGGTACAGTGTTGCATGACCGCGCAATTGTCATTCAAAGTGTGATAGCGCTGAAAGCTGAAAATTGGCCTGGGCAGGAAGGGGGTGAAAGTGTTCGGGCTTGAAGTGGTTAAAGCCTCTAAAAAATAGGCACTTGGTACTGATTACCTAGAAAGGATAAGTAGACTTTAAAATGATTCTAAAAAAGGTCAAATTTTCTTTTTAAATAATACACATATTATACTTACCTGCTCTGTGCAATAGTATTGCACAGAGCAGCCCAGATCCTCCTCTTCTTTGTTCCCCTGTTGACACGCCTCTTTGGTGAGTGCTTCTACGGAAAGCCGCTTGCTATGGGGGCACTCAGGTGGGTTCATGCCTGAGCCCTGCATCCACAGACAGCGGAAATCTGCCCAGCCCCCTTTTCATAGGATTTGATTGACAGCAGTAGGAGCCAATGGCTTCCGCTGCCATCAATCTGCCCTGTGAAGATGGACAGAGAGCAGAGCTGCTGTTCTCATGCACAATGCTGGATCATGAGGGGGCTCAGGTAAGTAAGGGGGGGCTGGGGGGAGCTGCATGAAGACTTTTTATTACCTAAATGCTTAAAATGCATTAAAAGGTAAAAAACATTCAGCCTTCAGAGCAACTTTAGGACTACTTATAAAAAGCATACACTTAGCACATGCACACTGCTTCGTATGGCGCCCCTCCCAGAACTGGGCGGCCGCAGGGAAGCCGTTATTTGGCGGTCTGTGGTCAACAAGTGGTTAATTTTTGATTTTTAATAAAGGAGTAAAAACTTCTCATTGCTTCCAAAAAGAGGATAAAATGGTGACAAGCCGATCTGTGATAATTCCATATTAATACATTTATTACAGATCAGCTTGTTACCATTTTATCTTCTTTGTGTAAACAATGAGAAGATTACTCCTTTATTAAAAATAAAAGATGAATGTTGGCAGCGAGTTATTCGTCGGTCGTGTGTGTTGTGCCTCATATAAAGCCCTCTATATGGCAGTCAGCACTCACCAAGCTGTCCGAACATATTAACAAGGACGAAGACGGTGGTCAGGAACATCCCGCAACCCCATGACATGTTGATGTAATCCCGCTGCTCGTTCCATTGGAGCCACATACGAAGGCCGTCTTCCAGGAAGGTGCTGATCAGGCACAGGTGGGCTAGATGAGGCAAATACCGCTTTGTAACTCGGAGGAACTGCAAAACAAGACATAGACAGCGTAAACTTCTCCGTGCTGGAAACACAGCCTGCCCATACAAACCATCTGGGTATCTTGTCTTCAAAAACACCAGACGTTCATGTTCATGCCAAGTTTTACTTGGAATACAGACGAGCACCACTGGGGTGAAACATGTGAGTGCAGACTGAGCACTGCTAACACTCTTCCCTTGCAGCGCCAGGGGCAGGAGATCAATTCCATGAAGGCTCATGCAGAGACGGTCAGGGGTTGAGGTCAGTGGCAGCGAGTGACACATTGCAGGATACGATCAATATATTCCTGAAGAGAAAAATGAACTTTTTTTTTTATTTAATCTGACTTGTTCTAATCAGCCTGCAAATGTGTACAGCAGGGAAATCCGAGTGATCACCAAATGTGTATTCAGGACTGGAGCCAGCCTGGGGTTGTTGTATTTACAGGTCACGTCACAACGGCAGCTCTAATCCGACTTGGCACTCACTGCAGGAGAAAGGTTTTCCCGGTGAGTCCTCCTGCACACGGGACGTTTTACAGCGGCTGGTTTTGGCTTTTGACATTTTTCTACAGCCAGTAAATCCAGGGGCGTATTTGCTGCGAGGCAAACAAGGCATTTGCCTAGGGCGGCACTTTTCTGGGGGGCGGCACGGCGGCAGTGCCGCTCCCCCCCCTTTCCCACGGAAGCGAGACTTCTGTGGGAAAGGGACAGGGCCGCCATGGCTGAGGGTACAGCAAGGAGGGTCACCTGGACCAAGGGACCGGGGCTGCAGAGGAGAGTGGAGTGGTGGGCGGGTCATCGGTGAGCGCTCGGAGCGCATGAGGGGCGGGGCCCGCTGTCAGTGTGACGGGATGTGCAGGAAGGTGCCAGCGAAGGAGGAAGCAGAAGAGGACGAGGTCAGGGTGGAGGAGCCCGCCCGCTCTTTTGCCGCCAGAGATCCTGGGGGAGAAGGGACACAGGCATTGAGTGATGCGGACACCATCTGGAGAAGCCGCTGCTGGACAGGTAAGTGCTTGGAGGACTGGTGCTTCTCCACTCCTTCCTCACTGTCCCCCGATACACTGCCCCCCCCACCTGTTCCACTTCCCCCCTCCTGTCCCCCACATTGTCCCACTACCCCCCATCTGTCCCCACTGCCCCCTACCTGTCCCTCTGCGCTCCTCCTATCCCTCTGCCCCTCACCTATCCCTCTGCGCTACTCCTGTCCCTCTGTGCTCCTTCTCCTGTCCCACTGCGCTCCTCCTGTCCCACTGCCCCTCACCTGTCCCACTGCGCTCCTCCTGTTCCGTTGCCCCGATCCTGTCCCATGCCCCCCATCACGCTGCCCCCCACCTGTCCCTCTACGCTTCTCCAGTCCCACTGCCCCTCTGCACTCCTCCTGGCCCACCATTCCTCACACTGACACCAATGATGGGGCGCTATTCCTCACACTGACACCAATGATGGGGCGCTATTCCTCACACTGACACCAATGATGGGGCACCATCGCTGTCAGTGGGCGGAGCTCTAATAGGAGGTGGAGCCTAAAGAGGAAGGGGTGGAGTTTGCAGATGAAAGGGTGGGACACATTTAGATGCGGGGAGGGGGCCTGATTTTAGTCTTACCTAAGGCAGCACAAAGCCAAAATACACCACTGAGTAAACCCCCCCCAGCATGTTCTCCTGCGTGTCCATCCCCGGCGTGTTCTCCCTGCGTGTCCATACACACATAGGCTGGAATTAATGTTTTTTGGCTGGAAAAAAAACCCAGGACTAGTGGGTATCTAGAAGAGTTCAGCTATAAAAACGCTCTAACGCTGAAAAACGCGGCAAATTGCAGCAAACCAGCATTTTTTGGACCTTAGAACTAATGGCACCCTCCTGCGAGTCCACATTCCCCTGTGCGGGTGGTGCGGCTGCATGGATTTTTGTGTGGATCCGCAGCGGCACCACCCGCACAGATGTGATCCTAGGGTAAGACTGGAGCAGGCAGAATCTGGAATGTCGCCAGCACACCGAGGATCACCAATATGGGGCCAATAGTTTTCATGAACAATCACATAGTTACAGCAAGGCAACGTTTCGGAGTCTCACAGGACCCCTTCATCAGGCATGTGACCCATATTGGTGATCCTCGGGGTGCTGGTGACATTCTCCCTTGCTGATTCTGTTGGGTTCCAGCCGATGGTCGCTGCAGCACCCACTTTTACAGACAGCCATTTTTAACGCAGGAACGTGTGCTTTTTAGTTGTACACTTACATTACAGGACAAGTCGCACCCTATGATCGGCAATGGAACTGTCCAAAGTCCGAGTCGCACCGATTGGAAAAGTAGTTCCTTTTTTGGCAATTTCTGGTGCGACTTCCATTGACATCTGCGCATGAAGCTGCACAACCATCACCTGAAGTTGCACCAACATTCAATGTGTCATTTCAAGTGAAGTTGCATGATTTCAAAGTCCTTCTCAGCGTGAACTGGGGAGATTTGTCAAAGCCTGATTGAACAAGCTGAAGCTTGAAGCCGATTGGCTGCCATGCACAGCCGCACCAGATTTTGCACTCTCCAGATTTAGTAAATTCTCCCCCCCCCACCCCCAATATGAAACGAAAGAGCTGACCAGGCTAGGTCATGTGACCAATATTGAGGCAACGATCACATGGGGTGTATGGGCAGACATCTTAAAGGGCTGTTGTTCTTACTAGCCAGCTCAGCCTGACAGCCGTCCTCTATTTCTGCACACGGATGTCATGGGCTCACGTTAGTCTGTCCCTGGAATAGCAAATCCCTGAATAAAAGGAATCATTTCACCTGCTGCACCTTTCATTGACCCCCCGTTCACATCTGTGCGGGTGGTGCCACTGCGGATCCACATGAAAATCCGTGCAGCCGCACCACCCGCACAGAGAATTGCGGACCCGCGGATGGGTTCCATTAGTTCTAATGGCACGCCGCCCGCAATGGAAAACGCAACCGTACTGGGAACCGAGGTTCCCCTGTGAGCTGCATTTTCCAAAGAAATGCAGGGACTTCCCTGCGTGTCACGGGCACAGGAGTCCATTCAAATGAATGGGCTCTCGTGCCCGAGCAAAACGTGGCCGCATAGGTGTGAACCGGGGGTGACACTTGGAGGGTGAATATTTTTTTTTTGAAAGGGAAAATGTTTTGCCTATATGGCCCGTTGTGACATCCAGCGTGCCAAGGGTTGCTGCTACCAGTCTGTATACATGAATCATTGAACGCAGACAATAAAACAGGGCCACGCGTGGATTTGTGTGCACAATTACACGGCTCATCCGGCAATGCAAACATTTATCACCATTTAGTTGAGTTTTATTTCTTTATGACTTTTTTTTTTTCCACAGCTGTCAGCACAAAGGACCTAATCTAGGCAGCAGTGCCAACTCATCCCTATAATTACAGACATTACACGGCTTCTATGGCTGATTGAACCTAGAATTATCATGGAACCTGCATACCTGATACACCACCGATGAAAGAAACGGCTTGGGGGTGTTACACGGGACCGCCAGAGTGTCCAATCACAAGAAGAAAATTATATACCTGACAACGTGCATTCACTTCTCTGAACACCCCATCATTTAGGCTAGGTTCACATCTGTGCGGGAGGTGCCACTGCGGATCCGTACAGAGAAATGCGGACCCGCGGGCGGGTGCCATTAGTTCTAATGGCACGACGCCCGCACTGGAAAACGCAACCGTACTGAGAACCGAGGTTCCCGTGCGGGCTGCGTTTTCGGAAGAAGTGCAGGGACTTCTTCCCTGTGTATCACGGGAGTCCATTCAAATGAATGGGCTCTCATGCCCGTGCAAAACGCAGCCCACACGGCCGCATAGATGTGAACCGGGGGTTACACTTCCGAGGATGTGATTGAGAAGCATGTAGTGGCCCTAAGGCTCGGTTCACACCTATGCAGTTTGCGCTTGAACCATTTCTGCAGTGATTTTTGCACATGCGTTTTTGAAGAGTTTTTTTTTTTCCTTGTTGCTAGGCAGGTTAAAATGCAAAACGCATCAGAAACTAGTAGTGCGCCGAAGTGAAAATTCTGGTGCCGAAAATTCAAAATGCACTTGGCCGAAAACCGAAAAGCGCAGTTTTTAAAAATGAATATATTTTTGGGAAAAAAAATACACTTTGATTAATTAAAAAAATATATACATATACACACATACATACATACACACATACATATACACATACATACACACACACACACACACACACATATGCACACCCCAATTTTTTTTTTTTTTTTTAAATATGAAAGAGGATGTTACGGCGAGTAAATAGATACCCAACATGTCACTGCGGTACTCCATTGGTGATGCTTTAAAAATGTCTACAGGTTAGCAGTGTAATGTTACAGAGGAGGTCTAGTGTGAGAATTATGGCTTTTGCTCCGAAGTTCGTGGTGATACCTCACATGTGTGGTACACACCATTTACATATGTGGGCGTGGCCTACATATGCGTTCACCACTATGTGTATGGGGGAACGGGCACGTTAAACTTTTTTTTTTTTTTTTTTGCTTTTTTTGCTCTGTCCCTTTAAAAACATTTTTAATCACTTTTGTTCTTATCACAAGAAATGCACGCATCCACTGTGATAGAAATAATTAGTGACAGGTCCTCTTTATGGAGAGATATGGAGTCAATAAGACCCCACATCTCTCCTCTGCAATGTAAAGCAAAAAAAAAAACAAAAAACACATTGATCTAGTGCTTTAAAAAACAAAAGGGAAAAATAATGGCCAGGATGGTAAGTGACATCGCTCCAGTCCTCCAAGGGCATAGAGATGTGTGGCAGCCATCTTTCCTTGACTTATCTCTATGCCCAGTTCCGGGATCGTTCGATGGTTTATCAGGTAAGGCTGAGAACTAACGAGCGGCGGCCAATGGCGGCAGTCAGCAAAGGGCGGGGTTTTTTTCAGCACCTGTTTCGGTGCTTTTTTGCATTTCAGACGACGGCTGAAATGGGTGTTTTTTGGCCACCAACATTTCGGTGC